GCTGACATAGCTGCAGAAAAACAGGGGGCACTCGAGCTGGATCAGTTTCATTATATGAGAGGCTACAGTTGGCAGGGCCTTCTCTGTCAGGGCCTGGGACGCTGGAACTTGCACCCCCCCTTGGTCCAAGTTTGGGGACTCTCCAGGCACACTGCAAAAGAAAATGTGTTCAATAGGATTTTGGGAGAAGGCTGGGGATGTGCTTCCTAGATGATGAAGGTTGCAGCCTGATTGGCCAGACAAGTTCCTGTGAAGTGGATTTTAATGTTGTTGAGGTTTAATTTAATAGCAGTTAGTTATTATATGATTAAATTATGTTAGGGTGCCTCGAGTCTTGGAAGGATGTTTTTAGAATTTTAAATCTAAATACATAAACACACCATGGAACTTGATTCTCAAGGCTTTTGGGAACCAGTAGGGTTAAGTAATGTGCTAAGTCAGTAAGGGATTCCTGTAGCAGAAAGAGCTTCCTTCAGAAAATTGTCCCAGCCTAACCTACTTCACCTCCCCCCTACTGTAAATCCTTACTGATCTCTGGCCTGTGCTCCCCAGGTGAACTCTCTTACTCTTGCTAGTTTCTAAATCAACTGTCAGTTGGGAAAGCCATTGGTGAAGAGCATTGTGTGGGTTAAGGTTTGTACTGAGGTGTTTCAAGATAAGTAAATGGTGTAGTAAGTGGTTTCTGTGGTGTAGCAGTTATGACGTTGGTCTAACATGCAGAAGGTATCTGGTTCAAAACCATCCAGGAGCATTGGGGCTTCTGGTCCTTTTATGGGGGGAGGGATAGCTCAGTGGTTTGAGCATTGGCCTACTAAACGCAAGGTTGTGAGTTCAATCCTTGAGGGGTCCAGTTAGGGATCTGGGACAAAAATCTGCCTGGGGATTGGTCCTGCTTTGAGCAGGGGGTTGGACTAGATGACCTCCTGAGGTTCATTCCAACCCTGATATTCTATGAACCTCATAAATGCTATTGCACTGGACCACATCAGGATTCATGTCTCAGCTGCGAGCGTCTCTCTCTAAAACTATGAAACACAATGTCAGGAAGGGAAGAGAATAAGTAGCTTGAGCACGTTTGTCACTAGGCGAAGCTTCCTAGTGGTTGTTTTACAGATGGCAGTAAGAGTGACATTTTATCCCTACCAAACAGATGCAGCTTAGAAAGTGACATTAGGTCCACTAATGCTGAAGCAGGAAGCACACAGACACTGTTTGCCCTTTTCAGATTCTCAGTTCAGTGCACCTGTTTTCTCAATGAGATTAACTTCCAAGCAAAATATCAACTTAATAATGCCAGGTTGGCAAACTTCAGTATTTCTAAGGAGCCAGTGCTAACCTGCCTCCAACACTCTGGCATGTCTAAACAGCATAAAATGAACAAAATGCTTTGTGCAGAAATGTTGACTTTAATTTCATTCATTTTTCATTGGAAAAAAAAAGTTTTGATCTTTAAAGACAATGGAGTGAATTTCATAGACTCATAGGACTGGAAGGGACCCCCGAGAGGTCATGTAGTCCAGTCCCCTGCACTCATGGCAGGACTAAGTATTATCTAAACCATTCCTGATGGGTACTTGTCTAACCTGCTCTTAAAAATATCCAAAAATGGAGATTCCACAACCTCCCTAGGCAATTTATTCTAGTGCTTAACTACCCTGACAGGAAGTTTTTCCTAATGTCCAACCTAAACCACCCTTGCTGCAATTTAAGCCCACTGCTTCTTGTCCTAATGCTCATGAAAAGGGATTCATAGCAGTGGTCTGAACTGAACACTAAGAGTATATCTACCCTGCAGTCAGAATTGGCACTGTAGCACATGTAGACATACTTGAGCTAATTTTGATCTAGCTATGGTGAGTACCAATAGCAATGAAGCGAAAGCAGCACAGAAGGCAGCATAGGCTCTATAACTCTGTCCAAGACCATGGGTATGTATTCAAGTGGCTAGCCTGTGCTGCCACCTATACTGCCATGGCTTCACTGTTATTGTTATTCGAGTTATATCTAGATCAAAGGTAGCTAGGGTATCTACCTGTGCTGCAGTCACACTTCTGATTGGATATATGCACAGACAGAGTGGTTAGGCTCTATGCAAGCTTCCTCAGCTAACTCTTCCAATGCATTTCAGTCCTGTCCTTTCACACCTGTTGACTCCAGTAATGCACCCCTCCTCAAAGCATCTAGTGACCATTCAGATGAATTAATAAAAGTAAAGTATCAGAGGGGTAGCCGTGTTAGTCTGAATCTGTAAAAAGCAACAGAGGGTCCTGTGGCACCTTAGAGACTAACAGAAGTACTGGGAGCATAAGCTTTTGTGGGTAAGAACCTCACTTCTTCAGATGCAAGAGAAGTGCA